CGTCTCTCATTTCAACCTTCCAGGTTGCCCTTCGCCAGGTGTCTCCCAGAGTGGAGCACCGATCTAGCCGAGAGAAGCCCTACTGGACTCCCAAAGTGTTTGTGTAGTGCGTGTGTTTAGGGGTCGAGGAGGGTCAAGGACTAGGAGGGAAAGTTCGCGCACTGTCCGTGGCCGTTTGTTAAGGAAATCCTCCAACATTCATGAAGGGAGGAACCACAAAGACCTACCGATCAGAGACGTCTGCTCCTAGAATACTTCTCCACGCAGAGCTTGGATTAGGCTCTGATATTTAGCTAATGACGAAAAATCCTCATTATCAGAACTCGAGCCCTTGGACTTCCTGGTCACGTTGTGTCTTGTACAAACTATAACAATTCGTTTTTTTCGTAGTCGGTACATAGAGAACGTGATAATTCTTAAAAATCGCCATTTTTTAGTGAAATGAAGAAACATGTTTAGAAAATAGTACATTTTTAACTTCCATGTGTTCATCATTAGGCAGTTGGTGTACAGAGTATATCACATTGTCTACGTCCGAGAAATACGAATTGCCTCTCTCAGATTAAATCATTTTGAAAAATGGCAATTTTTGAAATCTATAACTTGTGCATATATGTTTGCCTGTTTGAAAATCAAAATTTCTAGGGAATATGTTGAAAATGAACGATATGAACATTAATGTTAAAATATAAAGAACGTTTTCATATTTAAATGCGAGCCAGATCAACTCGAGAGTACTATTGAAGACCTTGGGGCATTATCATACTATGCCTGTATACGAAGTTTTGACAAAAAGGAAAGATTTAAACCTTTTTATAAATAAGTCAGATAAAGTCATGCATATGATATTTATTTATTTACAATTTATCAACGTTCACAAAATGAAATATACGCATACGCATGTCCAATATTACGTTAACATCTTTGGGGCGTCGAAATACACAAATATCTTAATTTCGTAAGAAATGTGACTTAGCATGTTATTCCCGCAAGGTCTTCAATTTCATTCATTCCTCCCAAAGAAGACGACCGACAGCCGCTCAAGCCTTTCTGCCTATTTGTTAACACAGTAGCACACGTGTTAACACGCGTCGCACCGACGAGAGAGGCCGTCAGGAGAGGAGCGCGCTGTCCCGCGCGTGCGCTTTGACGTGCCGACCGAAGCGGCGCGCGGTGGCAGGCGTGGCTCTGGCGCGGGGGGGGGGGAGGAGGCAGCTGTCATCGCGACGGTAATTGGCCACGCTCCGCGGCCGGCGCCCGTGCCGCCCCCGGGAGTCGACTTGCTCCTCGCCCGCCAAGGGGGAGCGCTGTTCGTTTTGTGGCAGGCGTCGCGCCGAGGGACGAAGAAGGCGTGTTGTGTTTCGTCTATTCCAGGAGAAACCAGGTTCTGACGCTTCACAGCTCTGTGAAATGTTTTTGCCGCAGAAGCGTAGGAATTCCCACCATTCGTAGTAAATAGTAAGTAGTAATATTAAATCCATACAGTTTCCCAAGGCGGTTTAAAATTCTATTGTATTTTGGCCTCTCGCTCGCTCGAGAGTACGTGCATGGGTGAGTCATTTGTATCTGTGGGAAGAATTACTTAATTTGAGACTTTTAACAGCAACGAAATGAAATTATAGAACTCTAAGGGTGAGAATACCCGTTTTTTAAAACCGAATTCTGGATCGTCCTTTGGAAAGTGAACCTTCGAATTCATTCGTACGACGATGAAAATGATAATAAATTAAGACAATTGAAGCCGTAAATCCTAAAACAGCAGAAACCCAATTACTAACGCTTTGAGATACAGTTATGTTTATACATCTCCAAGCGTAATAAAGATACAACTGCGATCATTTCTATATAAAGCTGCCTAAATTAAATTGAATCACACAAATTTAAACCATTAGGATAGTCCAATAAAATACGGTGCCTGGATTTCATTTGAAACCTATTAGGTAAAATGTGTAATTGCCAGATCGTTTGACGTACATTCACATTTTAAATTAGCGCTTTATTAATGGTCTCTTCTATTAATAAGTGGATAAAGTGACTTGCATACGTGCAACTTGCGATTGAACAAAGCGTTGTATAGTGTGCTCTCCTATCAAAACACACGGCTCTCAGAATTCATCAAATATCAAATTACAGTTCCTGTTGTTTGTATAAAAATATTCAAAACACTATAACATACATAAAACTTAACAAAAAATAAAAAAATAATGCTGAAACAAGCAGAAAAACGTACGTAACTTAATGCAATAAAAAATGTATTACATTCGTAAAGAAACTCCTTTCATTTTCAAAAATAAGTGTGTCTATGACAAGAGTTAAGAGCAATATAATAATCCTGTTGCAATATAAGCAGATATCCAATATCATAAAAATGAGGCACAATGATTAAAAGTCAACTTAATCTTATATTTTATGATTATAAATGTATTTTTTATTTTAAAAATTAATTCCTTACTAAGGAATTCAGATCTCGGAACTAACCTGATCTCGGAACTAACCTTTCATCAAGTGCATTATACGTATACTACAACTTTTCAAACAAACAATTGCGGCGGTCGTTCAACTTCCTAGAATATGTATTCCGCGACACTGGCACTCAAGTTTTTTATTCGTTTTAGTCACCAAATAATATTTACGGTTGGACATTATCCCCGGCATAAATCATTCATGGCAGATGTAATGCCGCGGGGTTTTACGGTCTAAAGTTTAAATGGCGCGTCCAGCGCACTTGGTGCTTTAGCGCCGCGGCGGGCGGCGGGGGCGGGGGAGGAGTGGGGCGGGAGGAGAGGGGGGTGCGGGCGGGGCAGCGGGGGCGGGAGGGGCCGGGGCGGCGGAAGCGCGGGTGGCGGCGTCTGGAACGTGCTCCCGAGGCGACCTGCCGCGCAGCGATCCGCGACGAGAACGCGTCAGCCGCCTCCGCGCCTGGCCGCCCTGCGCCGCCGCCGCGCCTGCCGTGGGGCCCTTATGGCTGCCCGCCAAGGAACGGACGGCCTCGCGGCCGAGGGCGCCGCTCAGCGCGCGCGATTCGCTGCCGTCTCCCTCGCGCCGCCAGCGGACGCACGAGCCTCCTCTCCGCCAAGCAGCCACCTCTCCGATTGCCTGCTTGAACCCCGAAAGGGAGGAGGTCGTTTTTAATTTTTACTCTTTCTTATCCGGAGTAGTGATGCGACATCGGTAACATACTATCGATGTTAGCAAAAGTCGATGTTCAAAATTCGTTTTGTTTCGTATGTCACGTTTTTCAATATCGATGTTTTCAAGCTGGTTTAGTAAACTCTAACATTGTTTTCGTTTGCGAATTTTATTTTGACAGGGTTCATGTTTATGAACTCGCCGAATAAGGGGCACACCCTCCGCTTACAGCGTATTTGTTGACCATATCTCAATGTGCGAAATGAATCTAAAGAAAGAGGCAATACAAGGGAATGGAGGTCATCTCAGGCGAGAGAGTTTGGTAGAGGAAAATATTGCAAACGGCGTTCCGTTGGTTCCAACACATGAATAACAGGGATACTTTGTTATTATTTCATATTTTAACTTTAACAATATTTTGATCATGGAGATTTTTCATTCCGAAAGAAAACATCGGAAAAGAAAAAAAACATGGGTGTTAAAATAATCAATGGTAAAAACATCGATGTAAAAAAACATCGTCATCAATGTCGCATTCCTAATCCGGAGTATAGAGAAAGTGTTTTACTGCTGCAGCGAAAAGTGCCAGTTTTCCAATAGAAAAAAACTTGTTCTTTTTATTTGTTTCTTGTTGCTTCTGTTAATTTGTGTTATGCGTCTAATTCCGTGTTAGATTATACACGACAGCTGCAAATGTTGCGTTGATTATGGATAAAACTCGTAAACTTATATTCTTAAATATTAGTACTCTTCCTCCATAACATTAATAGATATAATCTTGCATAGTAATGGTATGTGATACTACGTTATAACAGTTCCTCCCACCGAGGCCCAGTTCTAAAGCATTCACGGCCAGTCGCATCCAGGTGCCTACACTAGCGTTGCAAGCGCGTCCCAACCATATCTTTTCAATCACCGCAAATTTATGTTGTATTCATCTCACCCACTGCCCAGCTTAAGAGTCGTTGTAATACGGTTCTTCAGCAATTTAATGCGATTACTTGCATGCTAGAAAATGACTAACGCGCCGCTAGAACCAATGCTTTAATAGACTGATATATCCCAGAACTGGTCAGAAAAGCTGATGATTGCTGCGCAGAGACCTGAGAGAGAAGTAATTTCTAGAACGATAAATGTTCAAAATGTCCATGTTACTGAAGAAATCGAAGGAATTCTAGATGTTTTCTAACAGTGAGATTAACGGCGGGTCAATAAACCTGAACTTTTTAAATAGACTCCCAAGTTTATGTATCAAAAGAAGAAGCATTACATCATAGTTAATTATTATCGAATGTTTCAGAAATATTGATATTTTACTTTAAACTACTTGTTGGATTTAATTAAAAAAATATACAAAAAAACAAAAATAATGATGGCAATGAAAGCTACCTTTGCCAGCTACTTGAAGTGTACCACTCAAGCACTCCTGAAGTAGTACGGAAGATCTCCACAGGCCGCACCTAATCGTAACGACTGATTCAGACGTTGAGTAATCCCTTACTCCCTCCAAATCCGGCATCCTTAAATTCCGTTTCAAACCATAGAACTGCAACGCGAGTTCTAGCTATTTGAGGCCTTCTAGAATGTGAGACTACTACGGTTTCGAACATTAATTCATGAGGTATGATCAGGCATAAAAATAGTAAACGAAGTGATCTAATTTTATTTAGCATCGCTTGCTTTCACCGAATTGAACTCTTAACGAATGGATAAGTGACAAGCAGAGTATGATTTCAGTTCAGATTTGTGAATAACATTGTGGCAAGCGAAAACAGGCTGTTTAACATTACAGTAAAGAAGTAAATGAAGTGGAAGACTCACTCGGAGGGTTCCCGAGTTGGAGTCTGCCTTCAACTGCGATGATCCTTGTAGTAACTTGTACTTCACGCTGTTTAGCGCAGCGTGATATACTTATGTAAGCGGCTTTAGTAGACGAAATACGCCCTAGGAGCGTAATGTGTATGAAATTCCCTGAAAGCAATATTGACAGAAAGGTGAGATATCGTTGTTATTCAAATACCTACGAGTATAACATGCACACAATAGGAGAATGAGTAAACTCCGTTTTATGTAGGTAAAATGAAAGGTAGAATAATAGTCAAACTACGTAGTGTGTTTTTTTTCATTAATATCAACTCTAAGGAATCGTAGAATATCATTTCAACGTGTCATGTAGTGAATAATTCTTATACAAAAAATATTAGGAAGGGTCTGTAATTCGTTAAATATTTCTTTATTTGACGTTTTCAATTCGCTGCTGGTCGATGTAGAATTGCAGAACAATTATTATATTCTATAATTGATAATGTTGTTAACAATGCAATGGGAACAGAAACTGGCATAAGGATCAATGACTTTTATTGATTTTATATAACGTTTATTGCATGAAACAACTATGATTGACATAACGTTTGATTTTATATAACGTTTATTGTAGGAAATATAAAATGGTTTAGTGATATAGTATTATATGTACGCAAAAGTTGATGAAAATAAATATATCAATTCCACATGCATTTGTTTTTCAATGGCTAATAAAAGTGGTTATTATTATTATTATTATTATTATTATTATTATTATTAAAATAGTGACAATTGAGTCCTAAAATTCGTCTCTGGTTATCCTGTTAATGCTTAAGGAATCAATTTAATGTTTTACATCAATCGAAGTTTTCATACATAATATTCAATGATATAAAGAACAAGAGTGAAGATACTGTGAACGAAATGTGTCCTGGTCCACGCAAGCCCGTCTTATAATCTGGCGACTTAATGGCGAACGTCAAATCTCAACGGAAATCCAGCACGTGAAAAACTTTAATAGGAGGTATTTTGGTTAAAATAGAAATGGCAAACACTTGTAATTTGTATGAAGAGCTAGGCGTTGCGTTGCATGCCCTCGTCTCGCAATCGTCGGTGAAGGCCTCTGGGTGGCGTCTGCCCCTGCGCGCACACCACCCGCGCAGCGTGTTCGCGCAGTCGAGGTCACGTCAAGCTTCTGTAGCTCGAAGTAGCCTCTCTCAGCAGCACCGTAAATCTTACGTTTGTTACTTCTCTCAGTTATTAACTTTGACGTAGGTAAGCAAAATCCATATCACAAAAGATTGAAAAGGAAGTTGGCTAAATAATTTTTCGATCTCTCATAGACATGAACTGATGAGCCTTTACTCAGAATAAATTATATAACGAGTATATTGTATAATGTCTATAACTAGAATGCTGTTATAATGTATGAAATGATTCATATATATCCCATCAATATATTGATATGCGGCTGCAGAGGGCCAATGTCCAAGTTGGAATAAATTTAAAAAAACAAAAACTTCCATGGTGGAAATACCTCAGATAAATGACAATAAAATAAAAGAGAAAAGAATAAAAAGAGTAAGTAGGAGATTGAGTAACAAGAAGGAAGCGTTAGATGAACAAAAGTCACTAGGAGATAAAGAGCAAGAAGGAGATAGGATAACTGAGAAGTTAGAAGAAGAGGAAGGAGAGGAGGAAGGAGAGGAGGAAGGAGAGGAGGAAGGAGAGGAGGAAGGAGAGGAGGAAGGAGAGGAATGAATCATGCGCCACCGATGTCCCACGGTTACACTGTTACGATTTGCTACGTGGAATGTTATTTCAGCAGGGACAATGTAGATTTCGTGAACTGATCTCATCAGAAAATAAATTCTTATTCAGAACACTCAGTGAAATTTTCGTAAATGATCGCATAATTTGAAAGTAGGTACTTTCTTTAAAGTAACTTCTTACACGAAGAAGGAAGTTCATTAATCTCTTTGAATGTTTGTAGTATAATACCTAAATTTAAAAGATATTGTTCAATACTGTTATATATCAGTATATCTTTCAATACGCTACCCCAAAACACTGTATATTTCAGATACGTCCAAATCGGCCGTTATTATGTAAATTACAATGTTCGTCTCCACACAGCGCATTTATTCGGCTCCCATGTGCATGCGGGATTTTTTACGCGGCCTCTTCCCTCTCCCCGTTCAAGAGCCGGCCGCGCGAAGGCCACCTTCCTCATAGGCGAGAATTGCAAGGGTTGCTACAGGAAATCTTGTGCATATAATTTAAAATCACATGGCAGAAAGTATAATTTTATATTCTAAATACTATCAAAATGTTATATGTTACATAAGTGCATTCCTCTTTTTATGATCTATCAATTGATAGTGAGAGAAATGTATGGTTCGATTTAAAAAAAAAGAAAATTATTATTTTCTCGAAAACTAAAAATATTTCAAACAATATCTGCCCACAATATAACTTGTCTCATGATTCCGTATTATTGAGAAAAAACTGCATTTCGATTCGAGTTTATTAGAATAAGTATTAATCTCGTGACTGGAGTAGATTATTAAACGATACAAGTAGATTGAATACATTATTGACTACTTTTCCTTCGCGCCATTCACTTGTCTTAATTATAAATGATTGCACTCCCAAAATGTTTTCATCGTGGTTTAACTTATTACATGTGTGTGGATTGTATAACGAAATTCATTACAGACCTTGTTCACATTAGAATACGTTGGTATGACCTTTAAAATTTGTCCCGCAGAGTAACGTCACGGTGCATTTCAATTAGAAAGCTATCCAATCTTACGTCTTACAATGGCGAAACTGAGATCTTCCGAATTCGATACAGAAATTAAACGCCGAAGAGCAGTCGTCTCGAAGACGACCGGCAGAAGGGCAACGACCCGGAGGTCGTTCGGAGCGATATGCAGCGAGGGCTCAACCCACGTGATTCATCCGGGGCACAAAGGCGCGCCTGCACGTTCTTGGGGCGAGCCCTCGGCCTTTTTGCGCGATGCGCCGGGTCGTAGAGGTGACCAATGTCCGGGAAGCTATTCGCATTCCGGGCGGCTGCTCATTAAGCCCCTTCGGCGCTGCTGGGGCGCTGTTGGTAACACAACGGCTGGCGGCGGAGGAGGAGTAAGACTGGCAGCCGTGCAACTTGTTTGGACGCGGAAGTTACATACAAGCACCTACTGGAGTTAATAGTGCGTAGTTCCGAAGCGAAAGATGGCTGGAGGGATGTGTGTGTGTTGCGTCGTATTACGTTCACAACATTATTGATTGTTGTTTTTTTTTTTTTTCTGGTAATACGAGATTTTTAAGGAAAGATAGATTTAGTACCTTAGTAGTTAAGAAATGAACTGTAACGTTTTAAAAACAATATTTACTTGTTTCAAACTTTCTATCAACGCGACAATACAGATACATTTCACTAAATAGGAGTAGGTCTTTAAATAATGACCATTTAAGGATTTTGTCAGAAAAACTATACCTTCTCAGATTGGATTGTAAAATCAAACCGTTTGAAATTTTACGAACATGCTTTTCAATTAATCTAACCTCAAGGTCATATCTCAGTTTCGTGAATGTTCTTACTTGTTTATCATTATAGTATATAATGTAAGGCTACTCACTTCATCTTCTCTGTATCTAATGCAGTTTCAATAGATTGGAAAGGAATGTGGAAGTATATACACGGTGCTTTGCAGAGGGACACACGTATCAGAAAATAACGATTGCGTAATCCAAGACGATGCGTATACACATGGTTGTAGAGGGAACTAGCAATATACAAACCGAAAATAGGCATCAAATCGCTGACGTAAGAGTTAAAACCATTTGTCAATTTGCGTCAGAATGGTTCGTTGAAAAGGGTCATTTGAAGTAATGCATTTTCATCCACTAGTGGGGTATTGCGGAGCCACATTGACGACCAAGTTCAGATAAATAAACCTTGGCTTTCCCAAAAATTAAGAAATGACGAATAATGATCTCGGTTATGGGAGTAACTTTAGAAATTTGTGACAACTTAAATTGCATGGAAAGCAAATAATAGTAATAAAATATTGTTCTCGTAAATAGCAATAATACTTAATCTCTCTGGACATGCCCATCCCCCCAGCACACGACTCGCTGTATAATCTCTTGAATCGGACAATCGCCAATAATTGTCAGATAAGCTGGACTCAGGAAATGCAATCGTAATTTCGCTTCCTGCTTTCCCACGACTTGGCGTGCCGCCAGACCTGACACTTCCAAAACAGTTTGAAGTTAATTTGGAAGAATAGAAAGGATAGTGCTTTATATACTACTGTTTCCTGTATATTTTTGATTTATAAATATATTATTCTATATAAATAAAAATATTGTAAATATATAAACATTTTACAAAATTGTGTAAATTCAATGAAGCCAAAAATACTGAGGGCGACTGCCACACCCACAAAGTTACGCCTAAGATTTAAATGATAACACACGAAACACGGTACTTAACGATTGCATACAAGCCAGAATCGTTCGTTGAAAACGCGACTTTCCAATACAGTTTCAGGAACAAGTCACGCCTGTTTTCTACCAGAGCCTATACTACGAAGCGCGTGGGAATGCGCGCGCTCGGCAAATGGTCTGCGAATAGCTCTGCAAGCGTATGCAGTCACAAGCCAGGGTTCGACTCCCGTACCGGGCGGCTGCTCGCTGCGCCAGCCGCGCTATCTGGCGCCTGTCGGCGCGGCGCCGCTGAGTCGCCCGTCGCGACGGCGCCTGTGGCGCCGCCGCCGCCGCCGGCACGGCGCGATACGCACGCGACACAGCCCGGGGCAGGCGCTCGGGGGAAGTTGATCGGCGGCGACTTGACCTACCTCACTGCCCTCCAGATCCCAGGTCAGAACCGGTATTTTTCTTCCGAGTCTGCGTCCAATCCTTATTTTTGCGAACGGGATGATTGTTGTCCGTGGCGGGCGGGGACGTGTCTAAAGTAGCTACTCTTTGATTATGTTGTAAATATTATTTTTATGTATGCTGCTCCAGATACTAAGTAAATGAGTTTGGTAATAAACCGCTTGTCCAAAGAACCATTAACAAACATTCACTCCTGTACGTTCCTAAAACGACTGTATTTCGTATGGCAGTTCTGTGCGTTTTAGAATTTTATTCCTGTA